CTCTTCTACGTCTGAGATTCTATTTTCTGTATGATCTAGTCTGCTTTTAATACTTTCAAGGGAGATTTTGACTTCCTGTATTATTGACTTCATTTCTAACAGTTCCGTTTGACTCTTTTGTAAAGCGTGTAATTCCTCTTTTAGATCTTGCAAGAATTTCCTCACCTCCTGGAACTCATCAACTTCTTTCTCCTTTCTCTTTAGCAGTTCATTGTCTCTCTTCTCTTCCATCTCAGTTAGCTTCACCATTATGAATACTCTAAATTCTTTGTCAGACATTTCCATGATTTGCTTTGAACTGCTTGTGGATAAAGAGGAGTTATTCTTTTCCCTTGGAGGAGAGGTATTTTCTTGCTTTCCCATATTTCTTGTGGTCCTGTGGTGATTTCTTGTCATCTGATGGATGGTGTGTTTCTTTTGAATTCTTGAAGTTCACCCGAGTGTTCAGGAGCAAGCAGAAAGACATTATCTGGAATCTCTTTGCCATTCTGTTGTGATCGCTGGTGCAGCAGATTCAGTAGATATTGAGGAATATGTTGACCCTAATAGTATTTGGATGTTTAGCTACAGTGCCCTTAGATCCATCACACTAGCTTTGTTTGCTGGAGGCTGAATTATGAGTAGAAAAATCTTCATTTCTCCTGTTCCCTGAAATGACTAGTTCACTGGAGCCATCACCAGGTTTTGGACTTGAACCAAGATCAACTATGTGGGAGTCCAGCAGCGTAACCATTACACCATTTGCTGGTCCTCATTCTCTGAATTTTTGAGGGCAATAGAAAAAGGCTATGTTTAGAGACACCAAAAATGCATGGTGTAATGAAAAAAAAAAAGTTTCAGCATGATCATAGATGAACAGTCATTCAACCATTGACTGGGGTATGGTAAGAACTAAAATTGGAAAAATAAGCAAGAATTTAATTATAAGTAGTGTTGTATGACATGCTAAGAACCTTAATCTTAAAATCATAATGAATTTAAAAAATTATAATGAAAGGTTGCCATCTCTGTGTTTAGAAAGAACTTTGGGAGACTGAGGAGAATGAGTTGGAATGGGGTACATGTTCAGGTCTGTAACTGGAAGGAGAGAGACCAATTAGGAGGCTCTAGCAGTAATTCTGGTGGAAGATATAGGTCCATACCCAAGTTTCATCTCAGGAAGGGTGGTGGGTTGAAACTCTGGGAATGGGTGAGATGTCTAAGAGATTACATACAGCGAGGAGAGAAGGAGGGGCCAATGACTTAACTACCAGGATGAATGTAGTTTAAAAAGACTAGAAACATATCATGAAGGATCTAGACTTACACATGTAGGGGAAAAAAACAAAGGAATTCATGATTACAGAAGATAGGATGATAACACTTTCAGGAGCCATATTTAATAGACATCTGAGAAAACTGAAGAACATTTGACTTCGTAAGAGTCTCTCTAGATCAAGAGCTGGTGCAAGCCTGGGATGGCTTGACTCTTTGTCACTTTCTCCTACCAAGGGCCTGGTCACTTCTGACCTCCATATCTAGAATCAGCCTGTGAGAGCTGGAAGGGATCCTAGACATTAACAGTAAGAGCTTAGGAGACTGCTCAGAGGAGTTATGCAGCCACCTTGAGGCTGAATTCAGTTATCACTGACTTAAATTCTCATTCTCTTCCACCATTGGGGTTGCAGACTAATTTTTCTATTAGTGAGCAATCAGTCTGTGACCTAATTAAAAAGTTGCTAACGAGGCCTTTGTTCTTGAGAGAGCACAGCTGATGGGAATCCCAGTGGCCTACCCTGGGACTGGAGGGAAAACTTGAGGTGAATAGGCAGGATCAGATCAGGAGAGAGGTCTAATGAAGTCAGGATGCAAAGTCATACCTGTGAATGAACTCACCTTGGCAAGTGGCCACCTCTGAAGCTCAAGCCCCTACTGGCCTATAGGTTTACAGGAGTAGCCATGTTCAGAGTAGCAGTGATTTTCATCTGAGCTACCATTTCTGCTTAATGTGGGCTCTGCTGACCTATTTTGATAGAAGGCTTTACTTTTTTTTTTTTTCTGTAATATGCCACAATTTTTATTGCAAAGTGGCCATTTTTATGAGGATGGGGAGTTTGATCTCAAACAATGTTCCATTTAAGGCTCTTTCATACAGAAATTGCAATCATGACTGATACTCAAAATATCTTTAGTGTTGCAAGACTCACATGGTAAACATAAAACTCCACTTATTCAGTAGTGTATACTCAATGAAAAACAAAAAGGCATTAATAGCTACCTCTTTTAAGAAGATACGCAGGTAACAAGAATGAACACTGAGGTATGAGGATAAGTTAATGACACAGTTAACACAACTTAATGGGCATTCTTTTTGGGGGATTAAACTCATTATAAAAAAGTGCTTTTAATGCATAGTGTTATATTCATGCTGCCATGTCACAAAAATAGGCTTGTCAAGGCAGGTGAGGTGTATGAATGCTCGAGCCTCACAGAACTGCAATCAAGTGAAACTATAATACTGAAAAAAGTTTAGCATCTGACCAGTGAATAATACTTTCAAGGCATTCAATTAGCTTACCCTTTGTTGTATTCTAAGCTTTTCACATTGACAATCACATTCATTGTAATGCTTGCTGCAAGGGAGGCATATAACCAGTTGTTTTGGCTAAAATATGATGGAAAGGCATTCCTTGGTTTCTACATAAAAATAATAGTATTAAACAATCTAATGGCAATCACTGATAGGCTGCCTAAATGAATGATATCTCCTTCATTCACTGTGTTGGAAAGACCCAGTGGAAAGTGAAAGAGAGGGAAAAAAAATCAACCTGTTCCAATGGACTGAGCTGGAGAAATAGAAGCTCCTTAAGATCAAGATGGCACTTGACTGTCACTTTATAATGGTTTTCCTTCAAGTGAAACTACTACATTGCCTGCCAATTTTTCTCCAAGCGTGGAAGGGTCCTTAATATCATCCAAACCATTTACCTGCCATTCGTGTTTAATATCTGTAAATTTCTTTTTAATGGCATCTTTAGAGCTAGCATAAATCATCTTGCTTTTTGAAGGTGCACTTTCAGGAGCTCAGAATATAAATACTAGATCTTCTTTCTTAGACTCTTTTGTTTCGTATGTGGCATCATACAAAGCATATCGGCAATCATTCAGAGGTAACAACTTCACAAAAGATGTGTAGGGGTCTTCTACAGTATCACCAATGTCACCCACCAAGATCTGCTTTGCTTCCTCTACAATTGTTTGTCTTTTATCATCGCTTAAACAGAAGAGAACAGCTTTCTTTCTTTTTTTGATCTCCTCTTGTGTAGAAGATTTCCTTACTTTCATATCATTAAAAACTTTCATGACTTCACCATTCACTGTAACTACAGAAGCCATAGTGCCCATGGCTGAGGCTGCGGCAGCGGCTCTGGCTCCGGCTTTGAGGCATTCAGAAGGCTTTACTTTTTGAAATTAAAACATTAATTCCTTGCATTGAATTTTGGTCTCATATCTTAATTCAATTAGAAGTTCTTTGGACTGTTCTCATTCTTATAGATTGAGTCCTCTTGTATCCACGCCACTGCAAAGTCATTGTTTCTTCATGCTGAAAAACCTTAGATTAATTTACATTCTTCACAAAATATTGTTCAAACACCTCAGACTAAAAGGCTTTTCAAAAAATACTTAACTCCCTCCCTTCTTATGATCATCTTTTCTCATTTTTTCTCTCTAATGCCATGTATTTTATTTTTCTTCTTCCTTTTTAAAATTTAATAATTTGCTAGAGATGGTGTGGGCTAGCCTGAGGGAGAGAGAGAACAGATAGAGATAAAGAGAGAGAATAAGTAGTTCATATGGAGATGGTCATGCTGCAATCCCTTCTCCTCCTTTTGTCTTTTCAGAATTCTGGGCATGCACACACACTCGCCCTGTGTGTCTCAAGCCAGCCAGCCTAGAACTCAAACTTACAGTTGGTCATGTAGGATATAGCTGCCTTAACTACCATACCACTGGCTGGGTCAATTATTATTATTATTTTTTAATTCTTATCACCATCAATACTACCAACACCGCCATTGACATCATCATAATGATTAACATTTTCATATAAATTACAGCATATCCAGGATTGTTCATTGGTGACTTACATATACTACTCACTTAATCCTCTCATCCAACTTGTGAAGTTGATGTTATAATTATCTTCATTTTACTGAAGAGGATACTAAGGCTCAAGAGATTCTAAGTAACTTCTTCCATATGACAGGGCATTTAAAATTTTTTTTTACTTACTTATTTTCAATTAATTATTTATTATATTATTTGTTGCCATTATTGTTATTTTAACGTTTGTGTAGGGTATGGTGATCATCAGAGAGATAGAGAGATAGAGAGAGTAGACCCCTGAAACACTCAGACAGAAGCCATTTTAAATCTGAGGTGTGTCCTGGTGTGTTTAGGGACAAAGGTGACTGAAGCTTTGCTCTAAACCCTATATTCTAGACCTTCAAAACACTCAGACAGGAAGGGTGACCTCTATCCTCTCTCTGTCTCTCTTTATCAATTTTTCAATTTTTTTTATTTTTAAAAACATTTCTTTTCTCCTCAGGCATTTTCTTTCTCTTGCTAATTTCAAAAGCCATTTTAAATCTGAGGTGTGTTCTAGTATGTTCATGCGGCATGCTAGTGTGCCACACTGTTTTAATTTTTTTGCCTTAAAATATTTTTCTTCTTTTTTGATTGTTTTTGTCTAGTCTTTTTTATTTTCCTTTTCCTTTTGCTTTCATATTTTCAACCTTGCTTTCCCATTCTGCTCTTCAACCTCCACACACTGAGTATTTAGACAGGCCTAAGTGCCCAGTAGCCAAGCATCTAAATACTTTAGGGTCATTGAAATCCATAATGCTTACTGAACCTCCTGCCTGAAGGAAGAAACTTCTTTTTATAAATCTGAACTCAAAATCTCTTTTTGTGGATACCACGTTGCAAAACACAGTAGAGGAGAGATTTTTTTCCCCACAGAATTACACTGCAATAAAGGGAAATATATGATCTTACAGTTGCAGAAACCTTCTCTAAGCAATTAGCCAAAAGTGAATTTACTACCAAATTACTAAAATGCAAAGAAGAGAGACTGCAGAGTGAGAAGCAGTGAAAAGGATGGAGCTGCAGAGAGAACATGCCTCTGAACTCTCTGTTGAAACCCAGGAACTCAGCATAGGTATACCTATTCCCTAGAAACTGTGAGGCCTTTGTAATATCTAGTTCCAAAGTAAAAAGTGCAGGTTGCTTGGTGAACATAAGGGAAAAAGAATTGCAAAGGGATTGCTGACCACTTCCTCCCGCACATATCTGAATGCTCAGAATTAACTCCCAGAAGTTAGGGAGACACATATAATCCATCAGATGACCAGAAACCACCACAGAGACACAAGATATATGAGAAAACAAGAAAATATCTCTCCCCTAAGGGAAAAAAAAAAACAATCCTTCATCATCCACAGACAGTAGAGTGGAACTTCTGGAAATGTCTGATAGAGAATTCAGAATATTCATTGTGACAAAACTAAATGAGATGCAAGAGCTGAGAGACAATGAACTCCTGAAGATGCAGAAGAAAAGAGACAACAAGTTCTAGGAGGTGAGGAAATTCTTGCACGATCTGAAAAAAGAAATACACACCATAAAAAAGAATCAAATGGAGCTGTTAGAGATGAAGGCTGTAATACAGAAAATCAAAACCTCCCTCAAAAGTATTAAAAGCAGACTAGTTCACGCAGGAGACTGAATCTCAGATGTTGAAGACAAAACCTCTAACCTAGAAAAAATAAACAAAGAAAAAAAACTGAGAAAATAACCAAAAAAAAAAAAAAAGAGAGAGAGAGAGAGATAGAGAAATAAGAGAAATGCTAGATTCCATTAAGCACCCTAACATCCAGATAGTTGGTATCCCAGAAGGTGAAGAAACTAAAAAGGGCATTGATAATCTATTCTGTGAAACTCTGGAAGAAAACTTTCCAAATCTAGAGAGGCATTCAAATATCCAGACCCAAGAAATACAAAGGACCCCTAATAGAATCAACCCAGAAAAATCTTATCCAAGACACATCATCTATTTTTCACTTCAGTTGTATCATTTTTTTCTTCTATATTTTGAAGCTCTCTTATTAAGTGAATATGCATTTAGGTTAGTTAAGTCTACTTGATAAATTGACATCTTTACCCCTAAAAGTTGTGTCTTTTATTCCTGAAAATACTGATAAGCACAATGCTTGGTTCATAGGTATAAGCAAGATAAATCATCTCAGATAATATCATGGATTTTACCCACTAATTTTATTTCTGAACTTTTAGCTCAATGTAACAACCTATATAATAACTCAATACAATAAAAATTTAAAAGTACAAAAATGTTCAGTACATTACTCTTCAGAATGAATGAAAAGAAAAGAAATATAGAATATATGAGAGCTTATATTGGGCCAGCCATGGTGGTATATATTTGGCAGACTGAGGCCACAGGGGAGGCACAGGTTGATTCTCAGCCCAAACTAAGAAAGAACTGGGCATGGTAGTACATGTCTGTAGTCCCAGTTTCACTGGAGGCTAAGATAGGAGGATTGCCAACAGTAAGACCCTGTCTAAGTAAACAAAAACAAAAACCCCCGAACCAACCACATATAGACCTACATGCTCACACATGCACACACACACACACACACACACACACACACAGACACACATGTACATATCAAAAGGAATAATAAAAATAAAATGGGAGAGCATATGAATCATGACCCTTATTCATGTTGCCATATTTCACATTAGAATATTACATATTTAAGTATTTTTAAAAATAATTACAATAATACAAAAATAACTCATGATTAAGATGAAGAGCTTCATATTTATCATTCAACTTAATTGTTAATAATCCTGCATTTGTTAAAAAACAGGGAACCAGCAGTTAGCGTAATGGCTATGTCGCTGGACTCCCACGTAGTCGACCGCGGTTCACGTCCCGGACCCGGTGGCTTAAAACTCATGCCGGGCGCGTGTGCGTGCGTGCCCAAGATCCCGAGAGGAGAAGGGAGGAGAAGGGATTGCGGCGTGACCATCCCCCCTGGGGGGTGATTTCTCCCTTTCTGTCTCTATGTCTCTCTCTGGCGAGCGCATGCGCCCTACAGTGAAAATCTCTCCCCCCCCAAAAAAAAATTAAAAAATAAAAAAAACAGACAAAAAGCTGAGAGAATTTGTAGATGAGAAAATTGCTTTGAATAACTTGGTGAGTGTCTAGTTTGGCAACTGTAATTACGATCGTAAGTGACAAATAGAAGTATAGAAAAAGTACATGCAGTATGACTGCAACCATCAGAGAAATAGAATAAAAACAGTAAGTGTCATCATAATTTGTTTCTGGGTAATGAGAATTTGGTGATTATGGTATGACCATGCCCCATTGGGGTGCCTATTCCCTCTATCTCTCTCTGTCTGTCTCTGTCTCTCCCAGTTGGCCACAGGTACCCTTTAGCCATTTTCTTTTTTAAATTTTATATTAACCTTTAAAAAAATATAATAGCCTCCCTTAAAAAAAGCTATATTAGGGTCAGCTGGTGGTGGTCGTTGGGGTTGATGATCCCACAAGGCTGATGATGGGTGCATGTGAGTGGGTGCCCCAAATCCTGAAAGTAGAAATGGAAGAAAATATCTTTTCTATGGGGGATACTTTCTCACTTTCCTTCTGTATCTATCTTTATGATAAGTACATATGCTCTCCAGCAAATGAAAAGAAAAATAAAAGCTATACTGGAGTACGTTAAAAGTCATTGCAAACCTTCAAGAAAGTAGCCCAAGATCATAATTTTATTTGTGAAATGTTAATATCATTTCAAGAAGGCTTAAAATCCTGAAAATGAGGCTGGCATCATGGCCTGCTATTTAGGGGCATCAGATCCCACATAGTCAACTGGGCAGTTGAATTCTTGGTCCCAGTGGCTTGAAAATCACATAGGGGGACCAGCAGTTAGTGTAATGGCTATGTCGCTGGACTCCCATGTAGTCAACTGCGCTTCGAGTCCTGGACCCAGTGGCTTGAACTCACGCTGGGCGTGTGTGCGTGTGTGTCCATGATCCGAGAGGAGAATGGAGGAGAAGGGATTGTGGCGTGGCCATTCCCCTGACTTTCTGTCTCTCTTTCTCTCTCTGTCTTTCTGGCGAGAGCACGTACCCAGAACCCCCCAAAAAAAAAAAAAAAAAAAAAAAAAAAAATCACATGGGTACATTGAGAGCTTGCCAAATCCCAAATCCCAACAGCATGGAGAAATGGAAGAGAAGGGATTGTTGTGTGACTGTGCCCCACAGGGGACTGCGTTCTCACTCTCTCTCCCATCTCTCTGTCCCTTTCTGGCGAGC